TAGAGATGAGTGTAACTATCTTTGGGTGACTGGGTGGGGAATGACAATTCTTGATTGATACTATCATCCTTTAGCTCTTTAACAAGCTTTTTCAACATAGCGGAATCGCTCTCCTTAACTGTTATCTTCTTTTTCTTGCTAGATGACTCTTCGGTGGATGTACTAATTCGTTTCTTACTGCTATCTTCGACTTCCTCCATCGGATCTTCTGGTATTGATGAAAATAGGTTAAACTTTTCACCCATCAAATTAGATAAGAACGAAGTTCTACTTGATTGGGATGATTGTGAACCTCTTCTAACAGAGGTAGAGACTGGATATATGATATCAACTTTCATTCCACAATCAGGGAATGGACACACGTCTGGCCTGGTAATCATTAGCTTCTTTTCGATGCACAATCTATGAAACAGATGCCCACATAACAGTATTGTAAGTGCTTTGAGAGAAAGTCCCAGAATATTGTTCGTACATTCGAAACACGGCTCTAGTTCCGGAATTTCTTTATCCTTAACCATTTCATCCTCGAGATACTTCAAGATATTATAAGCAAGGTTTCTATAGATGGTAAGAGATGAGTGGGATCTCTCTGGTACTTGGTAAGAAGGATCTTTGGTTGATTCTAAGCCTGACATATTCAGTTGATTTAACTCTCATCGTCAACTAGTCAGTTTTATATAGCGCTGGTATATGTACAGGAGAAAGATATTACCGGATTCTCGTTAGCAATTACATACAGCATTTCGTCATTCATTAGCAGTCCCTTTAGGACCAGACCCTTGCAAATCAATAAAAAAAAGACTATTATACACCCAGTTAAGGCTACGATCATCACAAAACATGAAAGCCTCTGAAACAAATATGGCAATTCCCCTTCGATTAAAGATCTTCAGGAAAAAAGTTTTCTGAGTGATGATCACTGCTTCGGACTGGCTGGCTTAGAAGAACAATCATTTTTTTGCGCAAACTCTAGCTCTTGTGTCAATCTATCCAATATTAATTTAAGACCAATTATATAGGCTTCTTGTCAAAATTCAGGTGCAACTCCTGTTAGAAACACCTTTTTAATACTTTTATTTGCATTTTCTATGATTTCATCTAAACTTTCCATATTGTGCAAATTGATATTAAATTCCATACTTTACTATATGAGCCTATATCTTTAATC